GAGCCAGAGGTGGAGTGGGGGATGTAACTCCCTTGCTGTTCTTCACAATAAAGCTATTGCATCTTTTATAACCACCTGAGCACAGTGACAAGTTTAACATCTAATATGAAAAAGATTAACTGTGCTGTACTCCCTCTGTACTGCACCGAAGTTTGGGGCGATCAGATTTTCAGAAGTCAAAACTAGGACGTGTTGACCAGCTTTTGTTAATATGAAGTTTCACACTAAGGGGATATGAGACCCTGTTTAACTGTGGCCCAATCCAGTGTAGTAGTGAGCTGTTTCCTTGGCCACCTGGATGCATGGTTTTACCTGAAATTGGAGCATCTGCCGTGCCATTTGTGAACTTGTGAGCTAAGAGGTGCTGTCAATATTACACTCAAGAGAGTGAATCAGGTGAATCTCGCATGAGTTCCCAGAGCACAAGCTTGGCTGGAGGTGTTTCCCTGGGACCAGTTGTAAATCAGCCTAGATACTCTCCCTAGCCCTATCATCATTTCAGTTGGTTTACATTCCAGTTACATTACTATTTTGTCACCACTTCCTTACCTTTGACATAATTTACAACCAGGGTAAAGCTGAAACCTGAGCACTTGAACCACTTTTGAAGAGTTTGTTGGGACAGCTAGGACACAATGAAAATCTGGGGCTGCCTTGGGTATACAGGACATCTAGTCACTCTGTGGAGTGTCAAGTGTCGATATTCGCATTTGGGTGTTTAAGCGGTGGGAATGGGACTTTCATTCCTCCATAGGATGTAGGAGGTGGGCATTGTTAGCTAGGCCTGGATTTGTTGTCTGTCCTTATCCTTGAGAAGGTGGTAGTGGTCTGCCTTCTAGAAATGCTGCAATTAATGTGGAGTAGCTACACCCATAGTGCTGTTGGGAAGTGAGTTCCAGCATTTGTGTGAAGGACTGATGACATTGGAACATAGAAATAAATAAGTTAGAAGTAGGAGTAAGCTATTCAGCTCCTGGAGCCTGCTTTACCAATAGAAAAGATTATAACTAATCTTATTCTGGCCTCAATTCTACTTTCCTATTGATTCTCTATAACCTCTGACTGCCTTATCAATGAGGAATCTATCTAAGTCAGCCTTAAAATATTTGATGACCCTCCTCTGTTTAGGAAAGAGAATTTCATCAATCAATGACTCTGAGAGAAAACCTTTCTCCTCATCATTTTAAATGCGCCATCCCTTATTCTGAAGCTGTCTTCTCAGGACCTAATCTTTCCCATCGGAGAAACATTCTTTCAGCATCCACCCTGTTGAGTCTTCTTGAGAGCTTGCACTTTTTAGTAAGAGGTAGCCTTTCATCTTTCTAAACTCCAATGGATACAGGCCCAACCTGACCCCCAATCTTTCCTCAAAAGATAACCCTTTCATCCCAGCATCCTTCCAAATGAGTGGACTCTACCATTAATAAAGTCAGGGGCAATGGATTCATGGGAACACCACCATCTGCAAGTTCCCCTGCAAAACACACACCATTCCGACTTGGAATATATCACCATTCCTTCACTGGGTGTAATGCTAACTTGCAATGTCACATCCCAGGAATGAATCTTTTAAAAAATATGTATAGTGTTATCATTTACTCATTTTTTTCCAGGTCAAGGATAAGAAGTCAAGTGAAGGCCTTTGGCTGCTTGAGCCTGCTCCACCATTCAACAAGAACATGGCTGATCTCTAAGTCAACTTCGTCCTTCCTGCATGAACTCCATATCCTTAAATTCTGTTCATAAACAAACATTCTTCTATCTCTGTCTTGAATATACTTAATGATTAAGCATCCACAGTTCTCTGGAATATAGAATTCCAAAGGTTGTTAGCTCTTCGAGTGAAGACATTTCTTCTCACCTCAATGCTAACTGGTTGCACAAAGAGCAAATGGTTTCCTGCCACTAGCTTCTCGAGGACAATTAGGAATGGCCAATAAATCCTTGCCTAGCCACTGATACCCATATCCTGTGAAGGAATAAATATATAAAAAGAATTAGTTATGTGGAGGATAGTGTGCTGATTGGAAGATGTGAGGGTGGAATTGAATGTGGTTCATGGTGAACATGGTACATGGTCAATGTGGGGCAAGGTAAGTGTCGTACATGGTGAATGTGTCTAGTGTGAAAATTGGCAAAGTGAATGTGGTCATGATCATTCATTAGTGGTCCCTTGCAGATGAGGATGACTCTCTTCCACTCTCCGGGTGAATCTGTAGGTGGCTGTACAAACTGATGCAACTACTGCAGGCTCTGTTACACTTAGGGCAAAAGGTGGTTGTGGGAATGGGTGGGTGAGGCATTGGTGTGTTTTTGCTTGGCTTCTGCCTTCTCCTGATGGCAAGTCTTGTGGTGCTTGACGCCTTCCCAAGTTCCTCCTCCACTTTGGTTGGTCTTGGACAAGTCATTCCCAGGTGTTGGTGGGAATGCCACACTTCACCACTGATACCTTGAGGATATCACTGAAGTGCTTCCCCTGTCCACCTGGGGCTCACCTGCTGTTTAGATGCTGGGAGTGGAGCATCTGTTTGGTGAATCTTGTATCAGTACTGCAGAAAATGTGCCCAGTCCATCATAGCTGATCAAGGGTGGTCAGTGTCTGGATGCTGGAGATGTTGGCCTGGTTGAGGGGACGCTGGTGTTGGTGCATCTTTCTTCCCAGTGGATTCACAGGATCTTGTGCAGGCAGCGTTGGTGGTACTGCTCCAGCACCCTGAGCTGTCTGTAGACAGTCCATGTCTCAGAGCCATATAGGAGGGTGTGAACCGAAACAGCTCTGTAAACCATGATCTAGGTGTCAGATCTGATGTTGTTGTCCTCGAACATCCTTTTCCTCAGGGACTTGAAAGCTGCGCCAGTACACTGGAGGTAATGTTGGATCTCTTTATCAAGAGCTGTTTTGGCCGACAGGATACTCAGAGATACATGGTCAATGTGGTACATGGTGATTACAGTACATGCGTGAATGTGGCATGTGGTGAATGCAGTGTATGGTGAATATCTATTGGGCTCACATTCTGGAATCTACATATATTAACACACCCTGTTCTTTGCAGACAGAAAGAATATGTACACGCACTGTGTGGTGACAGTCATTCACTAGCTCATTTTTCAGGGCAATGCTGTGACCATTCACAGTCAATCTGGCTGGTTTAAAATCTAAACAAAGCCTGGTGACTGTCAATCATCATTTACTGCTGCATTCTCCATTGCAACACCTCTACCAATCATAGTACACTTGCCTGCCAATCTCCATTCCTACAGTATAAATGTTGTTTTTCCCCTTTTTGATATTCTTGTGAATTGCCATAATGAGTGCAAGACGATAGTCTTATAAAAATCAGCAGTACTCAGTTTAGATGGTGGATGCAGTAAATGGTGAATTTGTTACATGGTGCGTGTGATACATTGTGGATATGATACATAATTAAGTTGTATATGGTGATGCATACATGGTGACTATGGTGCAATAAACAGCAAAGGCCGTACATGCTAAATGTGGTGAATGCACTGTATGATGACTGTGGTACACAGTGAAAGTGGTATGTTAAAAATGTAGCACATTGGAACATGATGCACGGTAAACGTGGAACATGGTGAATGCAGTATATGATGAATGTGGCACACTGTAAAGGCAGTGCGAGGTGAAGGCAGTATATAGTGAAGGCACTACATGATGAAGTGGCACATGGCAATTGTGGTACATGGTGAAGGTGGTATATGATGAAAATGATCTACAGTGAGTCTGGTACATGGTCTAGTTGTTACATGTTGAATGTAGTTCATGGTGTTTGCGGTAAATGATGAAGACAGTACATGGCAGTTGTGGTGCATGGTGAATGTAGTACACTGATTGTTGTACATGGTAAAGGCGGTATGTGGTGATTGCATATATGGTGAAGGCGGTATACAAAGGTAGTAGTACATGGTGAAGATGATACAGTGATTGTGGTACATAGCGAAGGTGGTACAGGGTGATTGTGGTATGTGGTGAATATAGAACATAGAACATAGAACATAGAACATTACAGCGCAGTACAGGCCCTTCGGCCCTCGATGTTGTGCCGACCTGTGAAACCAATCTGAAGCCCATCTAACCTAAACTATTCCATTATCATCCATATGTTTATCCAATGACCATTTAAATGCCCTTAAAGTGGGCGAGTCTACTATTTTTGCAGGCAGGGCATTCCACAGTCCATGGTGACAGCAGTACATATCCATTGTGGTACATGGTGAAGGTAGTACAAGGTGATAGTGATACGTGGCAATTATGGTTCACAATGAAGGCAGTACACAGCTTTTGCAGTGCATAGTGAAGATGGTACACGGCAATTACAATACCTGGTGAAGATAATACACAACAATTGTAGTGTGCAGGGAAGGTGGTACATGGCAATCGCAGCACATGGTGAATGTTGTCCACAGTAAACATGGTACATGGTGATTACAGTACATGGTGAAGGCGATACACAGCAATTACAGTACATGGTGAAGGTGGTACATGGCGAAGGCAGTACATGGCCATTAAAGTACATGGCTAATGTGATGCACTGTGAACGTGGTGCACAGCGAAGGTAATGCACGGTGATTGCAGTACATGCTATTAAAGTGCATGGCTAAGCTGATGCACCACGAAGATGGTGCACAGTGAAGGCGATACATGGCAATTGCAGTACACGGCGAAGGTGGTACATGGCGATCACAGTATATGGCTAAGGTGGTGCATTGCAAAGGTGGTACACGGTGTAAGCGGCGTACTGTGAAGGTAGTACATGGTGAGGGTGGTACTTGGCCCTGAGGGAGTGAGTGGGGAAGGTTGACCCTCAGCGACATGGAGCAGGGTCTCAGTGGGGTGGGGAGGAGAGGCCCCGCCCCTTACCCTGACCCCGCCCCTTACCCTGACCCCGCCCCCTCACTTATTTTCCCCCCCTCGTTCTGGCCCCGCCCCCTCTGACCCCTGACCCCCGGCGGCGTCACAGCAGCAATGGCGCCACCCAGTGACTTCCTGTCCAAGCACTCTATTGTTCTTTATGAGGATTTTCAAATCTTATTTTGGAGGTTAAAAAAAAACGCGCCGATGGTGCCGGCTCTGCCCAGGCGGCGCTTCCTCTCGCTTTTCCCACTTGTTATTCCATCTGGGGGAAGGAAGATGTCGGGGGAGGAGGTCGACGACGGCCGCCGGTGGCGTCTTCGCGGTGAGTTGTGTTTTTCTTTTTTTTTTCCACACATCACCAGCTCCCCCCCTCCATCCACACACACCACCCCCCCCCACCACCTTCATCCCGCCGGCGTGGAAAAGGAAAAGATTAAACCTCGCACATAGACACACAGCAACAACAACAAAACACCCCCCCTCCCTCCTCGCTCCTACAGTAATAAATAAAATATAAATATTGTTGTAGAGGAGGAGGTGGCGCAGGCCGCGAGTCAATGTGTTGATCTCGAGGTCTCCACAACAACAATAACAACATCTCTTCACCCCCCAACCCCACTCTCTCCTTTTCACTACTTTTACCAGTCATTACTTTGCTATGTTTTATCTGTTTATTTCCAGTGGTCAAATGTGAAGTCAGAAAGAGAATTTTCGCGTAAAACACAACGACACCCCGGCTTTCGCCAGCTCTCTGTACTTTTTTTTGTCGTTTCTCCTCCTTCCGCCCCCCCCCAAATAAAAATGCTGTGAACTTTTATTTTAGGTGAAAAGATTGTTTTCCCTCCACTTTCCTCATGGCATTCGTGTGTGACTGTCTGATCCCAAACCTTTATCTTCATAACAAGTGTTTGGAACATCCCAGCACGTTGGGAAATCCTCCGTCTCTCTTCTCTCCTGGGATTTTCTTTCTTTCTCTCCACAAGTCTTTATCGGAAAAAAATTGCTAAATGTATCTACGTGTAGATTCTAACTGCCTTTCTTCTCCTGTTACTATTCTCTCTTTTTCTGTCAGTCCAAGGTTGTGATTTTTCTTTCATTTCTCTCTCTCGTGGTTGCCACATGATTAATTTTTTTAAACAGTTTGATGACATGTCGGTGATTATGATGCCAGAGGGAACGTCATTAATCCTCTTGGTGCAAATAAGTACGCATATATTTCTGCTGCCTTTAACTTTGTCTGGTAGAAATTCCTGATTTTATGCAGCATCCCCAGCCCCCTCCTGTCTGTGTCATGAATGTAAGCAGAAGATCCTTTTCTGTTTCTCTCGGGGTGTTGGGGGCCGAATCCCTGTTTAGGTGGATTATGTTTTTTAAAAAAATGAGTCTTGGCTCTCTGGAGTAGGAATCACTGTAACTCCTCCGCCGTGGGTTTGATACTTTGTCGTCGTTGCCATAAAGCGTAAATGGAAGGCGAATATGTTTTTCTTTAAAGTCCTGGCCGGAATTCTTATCTGTGCCAAGCCGCAGGCAGCAGAATGGGCAGTTCAGAAGCGAGTTTTTTTTTGTTGCAGACTTGCGTGCGTTTGTATAGTAGTGTACATATCGCACTATTAATAGCCTAAACGGCGTATAAAACTCTACCTGATGTGTAACATCGTGAATTACATCCCGCAGTATCTCCCCTCTGCACTGTCTCTGAGAGATGGAGGATACGATTGTGTCTTCCTGTGAAACTTTTGTGTGTAATAGTTAACAGCTGCAGTTTTTTATGTTCCGAAAGTGTGGATCTGGGAGATTTTTGACAATTTTCATTTCGGACAGGAGGCATATATTCCCTTCTAGTGAAAGCAGGTGCTTATTTCAATTTGCAGGTCAGCTATGGCCTAATTGGACCCCATGTATTATTGTTATATTCAACCACGTTATTCTGCATTTTGCCAGATTATCTTCGTGGCGTTTGCAAACAGCTGGTGTATTCTATCAAATGTGCAACTTTTACAATAACCCTGTAACTCTGATAGGTAGCTGCAAACAGGAAAAGAACTGCACAGACTGCAGGTCATCATTCCTGGATCATGTCATGGAATTTGAATTTTTGGTATCCATAGGAAAATTTATCTTTTGTGATGTGCAAATGTATTTGACTTCATTTCAAATCATAAATTTCAGTCTAATTGGATTGTGACATTTTGCAATGCATTTCCTTGCATCTCTAATTTCTGCATTCTTTTTCCTTGCTGCTATCAAAAACTCTTCAGTTCCTGCTAATTTCTACCCTTCTGTTTATGTAAAGTTGCTACTGGTGCTTAAGGCACTTATTCTATAGATTTCAATACAGCTGATTTTTTTTTAAAAAAGAAATCCTATTGTAAAAACGCTGCTCCCTTCTTGAATTGATTTTCTTTGCTTGCATCAGTTTGTATATGAGAACATTACACACAGTAAATTCTACTTCAATTCTGTGTTTTGCCTTAATTACCTGTGTTAAGTGCCTCAATTGATACTTGATCAGTGGTGACTTGGCTAAAAGTATGAGAAGAACACAGCAAATGTCTCTTTTGCAAGGTTAGATAGGTAAAATGTTAGCCAAAGTTTCTGATCAGTCTAGTTATTCGTTTTGGGATTAATTTAAATCTGCTCACTTAATCCTGAAATATAAATGTTTTTTCCAATAATTTTAAGTTGTGCGTGATCAAGAATTAATATTAAGATGACAGTCAAGTGTAATGAACAACACATCATTTTTCACACGAACTTAATGTTAACAGTGATATTTAGAAATTCTTGAATGTGGATGATGGATGTGGGTAGGATTGAGTTTAGCTGTAATTCCCTAATCTTTTCTCCACTTTGCCTGTCCTCAACTTCACTATTCGAGCAACCGACAGATGCTTAATATCACTGTTTATGTGTAAAGAGTGGGAGACTTTATGGTAAAGTGTGGACTCACCTGTAGAACCTTGTGTCAGGAAGAAGGCACTTGGTGTGAAAACAGAGCAGTACAAGGAGAAAATTTAGCTGAAGAAGGTGAAAGAAACCTTTAAAGATTGTTGGTTGTCTACTTCAAGGTCTGCATCAATTGTCAATTTTGGATTGTCGGGCATGGCAAAGTTAGCATCATTGTCTCCTCTGAGTCAGAAGTTTGTGATTCTTGTCAGTTCGATGACTGAGTGTCGTACATACACCTCAGTACATTACTCCTCTCATAGCAGAGGCACTGTCCTCCAAATGAGATTCAAAACTGACTGTACTTTTCTGTAGGTGTTAAAGATCCCCTGTCACTCTTCAAAGAATCCTTCCAGTGATCTGTCAATATTCTCCTGTCAACTAGTGACACTAAAAACTGATTAACTAACCGTTCATGTATCCTTGCTGTGAAAAGTGGCTGGTGTGTTTGCATAAATTAATCCATGCATGTCAAGGTATTTAATTCATTGTATGTGAAATTCTTTGAGACAATTAAGTATCCATATTGGATCTTGCTCACTGATGTTCCTGTCTTTGTTACTTGAATTAAGTTCTAATTGGCTTGATCTACATTTTGAGATTCTCAACCCTGTGTTTAAATGAATTTGCACCCTTGTCTCTCCCACATTCGTAACTTTCTCCAGCCTCTCAGCCACAGTGTTTCTCCCCCACCCCAGAGACACCCAGCTTTCAGATCCTGTAACTCTTGCTGTTTCTGCACATTTCTATCTCTATTCCACATTCTGGAATTCACACCCTAAATCTCTGTGCCTTCCTCTCCTCATTTAATAACCTCCTTAAACTTTCTTGACCATCTCTGGCCAAGCATTTTGTTGCCCACCTCAAAGAAAGAACTTCCCATTTCATAGCCTCTTCCATGACCTTCGGATATCCTTAGGTGGTTTACAGACAATTAGCTACATTTGAGGGTTAATATCTCCTTTAATCTCTGTCAGTCTTTGCCTGACTGCATCTCTGCAAAGCACTTAGGATTTTTTTTCTGCTTTCTGAGGCACTTAGTCAGTAGAAGTTTGACTTATTCCTCTTTTAATAGACAAACTCCTGTTCTATTGACTGTCCAGTTAAGATTAGGAAAAGAATACTGAATGGCATTAATATATTATCACAATAAAATGGTATGACACGGGATGCTATTGAAACCTTTACCTGATTTTGTTGCTCACCAACCCACCCCATAGACCTATGCTAGCGTGTAGTTAATTCAGTCTCTCAAGCAGGTGGCCAGTTTTGGTTTGTAAACTTTTATATAGCTGCTATTTCCAAAGAAAGGTATCTTTGCTGAGTTCATTTCTCCATGCCTCACCATCCAACATATATGCTTTCAGCAAGGCTCAGCAAAAGTCTGATGACCCTGGAATATTTTCCAGCTGGACATCCAACCTTTTTGCAACACCCAGCTTAGATCAGTTCATTCCACAATGCCTGGGTATCATATCTGATGTCCTCTGGTCTGTGTTTTTTTTATGCAATGCAGTATGTGAACTGGCTGTCAAGTTTCAGGTGCCTCTTCCTTCTGAACTTTAAATTGCAACAAAATGTTTGTACCTGAGTATTTTTCTATAATGTATTAAGCATACTTGATATTACTTTTTCATGGTGTTATTTTCAAGATCTTTTGCAATAGTGAATTGACAGCATACCTTTTTATGCTTCCACGCCTGGTTAAAATGGTTCATTAAGTTGCACATTGAGAGTTAAGTGGAACAGTGGCACAATGTGTTGTGAAAGTGTGGGATTTTATTGATCGGCTGTGCATGAAGGGCTTAATGCTTGAATGTTGTGCAAAATTAACCAGAGGAATTGTGATGAGAGGAATGGTCAGTGAAAACTTAGGTTTGAATGTTCTCATGTCTTCCCCCTTTCACCTGGAGGTGTGACTGGTTGTGATTCAATTCCATAGGCTGCAGCAGTGCTCTGAAACCTCAACTAAATGGGAATTCTTGAGGAAGTGAATGTTCAGAAGCATCTTTTGTAATGGTCTCTTCCACGGTCAATATGGGTCAGCTAATTTGGCATTAACCTGGAATTCACATGTTTTCTATCAGTACTTGAACAACACACATATACTTGGTTTTTGGGGACAGAATTGAGGAGAGCTGTAAAAGATGATCATCCTGTTTTGCACTTAAAATCCAGCAATAACTTGTTCACTCCTAATTGATTTGGCAGTGACTTTTCACCAGGTGTGATGTAACTTAATTTGTACACGTTTCCAAAAAGGGACACAGAATAATACAGCGCATAGAGGCCTTTTTTCCCCTTGAACCCATGCCACCTTTCTGCAAGAATAATTCAGCTAGTCTCACTCATGATTCTTTTCCTGTAACTCTACAA